TTTTTAAATATATGTTTTGCAGGCAAGATATACTCGGGCAGTTCTCGATGGTGAATCTGGAGCTTTACAATATTGTTGAAGATATTAAAAACGTGTCCAAAGCCTTTGTAGTGCATCCTAAGAATGTTAATGCTGAGAATGCTATCAGTATGTTTCATTTTTTCCTTTTTTGTTCTATAATTGTTGTATGTACATTTGAATTACTGCTGCCTTTTGTCATATGCTGCACAAACTGAGAGTTGGATCTCTTTCTGTTATCAGAAATACAATAGAATTAAGCATAGATTGCACTTAGCTTCAGACCGGGGATTGTAATCATCAAACATTTAGGGTGGTTCGATTTTATTCAACACGAGATAGATGCTAAAGTTGTATGAGTCCTAGTATTCCTTCAATATTTCATCTGTCGAGATAAATGGTATGAGAAATAGATTAGTAAACGGGAGCATAATGCTGGGATTCTATCCGTATATTATCATTGAAGGGAAGGTTTTTGGAGGGTTATTGTTCAACGATCTTGTTGGTCTCATTGGTTAGACAGAAATTTGAAAATCTTTGCAGACTCCGTGGGCTCCTTTGAGATTTTATGGGATAGTGTTAAGTTTAGGGCTGCATACTGGGTTTCAGTTAAAAAAGTTTTAAATATTTCCTATCATCTGACATTGTTAGAGACTCAAGTATTGTTGCGTAGTTGGTTAGTTTCCTTTTGGGACTTTGTTCCCTTGCACAACCCTCGCCAACACTATTTTTAATAAAATATGTATAAAGGACATATAAAATAATTTTTGTTTTCTTGGAACACAGTTCTTCCTGTTATGCTGTCCTCTAAGCTTCTGCCTGAAATGGAGGTGGAAGACAACACCAAGAGAGAACAATTGCTACATGGCATGCAGAGTTTGCCGGTGCCTGCACAAATTGAAAAGTTAAAGGTATTTATAACTCTGCTGGATTTTTTTACATGGCACTCGCTTAAAACGATCTAATTTCTAGCTTATCCCAGGCTAGAATTGATATGATTGGAGCAGCCTGTGAAAGTGCTGAGAAGATTATAGCTGATGCACGAAAAGCCTACTTTGGTACTCGTCAGGGACCAACACATCTGCCAACTATTGACAAGGTCCAAGCTGCAAAAATACAAGAACAGGAAAATTTACTTCGAAGTGCGGTTAATCATGGGGAAGGTGCCTATTTAATCTTGAACAGCTCCATATTTCATTGTAATATGTTTCCATTAAGGATTGTGACCATTTACCTGTTTTACTTACAACTCGGCGCCTCATTACTTACCTTCTTAGTTTGGATTGTCCCCTGTGTTAACATTGTATACAAACCATATGTAGGATTACGAATACCTGCAGACCAAAGGCAAGTAACATCTTCACTTCCAATGCATTTGGTGGATGTACTCGTTGTGAATGATAGCTCACAGACATTCTCGGATACATCTGGTCTGCCATTTAAGCTTACTATTTGCTTCACTTCACCAATTCTCTTTTCAAGTTCCATATTGTTTAACACTTGTCGTGATTTTTCTGCAATTTAGGTATGTATCAGAAGAATACCCCTCCACTTATGTCAACCCTCGGTAATAACAGCCAGGTTCCTTTATTACAGGTCAGTAATTTTGTTCTCATCTAATTCATTCATTCACATTGCTAATTATCGGCAAGCATTATTCGTTATGCATACGTGCCGTCCATGTTTTTACTCTTGATAACCCATCTACTGGATTAACATTAATTTTCCCTGAATATGACACCAAGCGAGGATCGACAGCCTTCCTTTTAGAAAACGCTTCATGCTGCATCCACTCGATATTTCCGGTAGATCATTTTTTTGTCCTCTCATGGTTTGACTTGTGCTTATTATGATTAGGCCTCTGGAGCACAACTTATAGGGAGACCTGCAGCTTCCCCTTCTGGTGCTAATGGGTCTACCTCCTTTGATAATACAACTACATCTCCCATGCAATATGCAAATTCACCAAGATCTGGCGCAAACATTATGAACACGCCCTCTCCTCAGCAACAACAGCCACAACAGCTACAACAACACCAGCTCCAGCAGAGGCAGAAAATGATGCAGTTACCTCCACATCAGCAACAACTTATGGGTCAGCAGCAGCTAAGACCATCATCGATGACTGGGTTAGGACAGGTATGATTTATATTCCGATTTAGAATCTGGTTTTATCTAATTTTCATTCAGCGTAACATGAGAATGCCATTCTCTGCTATTTTCATCAACATTGGTGACTGATAATTGAATGGTTGATGAATCACTTGTGATGTTGAAGTAAGGAACTTTTTTCCAATTCAAAATATATTTATCAAAGTTGAAATTGTTAACCGAGTAATTGAATTGTTGGCTTGTATAATACTAGTAGATATCCTGTGCCTATGCACAGATGTACATAAAATATTATAAAGAATATTTGAGAATTTAATATTAAAATTCTAGATAATGAACATATTACATTTTCAAAAATTTGATCATTAGGAAAAATAAATTAACGATTTTATTATTATGAATAATTATTTATTATCATTAGATAATAACAGTTTGATTATTATTCTTATTATTCTTATTAAAAACATAATTGTTTATAAGCTTCTAAAGTTGTTTGACTATGCTATTAAAATAATTTACTAATTGTTTTTAAAGAAATTTTTTCATGAGATACAAAAGAAAAAGATAATTTGATGTTAAAATAAATACCTTGAAACAATTGTCTATAATTATGTAATTTATATTTATTGTGAATTATTATTTGTTGGTATTAGCAATAACTATTAAATAATACATGATTATGCTCAAGAGGTGTATTAATGTGAGAAGTAAAAACATATTAATGATAAATTTTGTAACCGAAAATGGAGGAAAAATTTTAGAGGTTTTATTAAATTCTATATACTAGCAATTATATATATATATATATATATATATATAGATTACTTACCCTATAATAAGTTGTGCTCAATTTTCGTTCAAAACTAATGTTCAAAAACTTTTCATGTTCTTGTCACTATGAGCAATATATTGTTTTTAACTTCGAAAAATAAAATTCCCGCAATGTGGCAGATGCACAACCAGCATCATGTCCAGTTTTCTCAGCCACTGGCAGCCCAACAACTACAGAGCAGGCAGCTCACATCAGCTGCTATGCATATGGGTCAAAGCCAACTGAATCAAGGAAATCAGATAGGCCGTCAACTAAACCAGTTCTCGAGCGCTACAAATAGTGCTTTGTTTAATGCTGCCCAAACGACACCAGCCTCTCAAATGGTCAAAATCTTCAACTCTTTAAAACTATCCATTTCTCTCTCTCGCTCTGTGTGTGTGTGTGTGTGTGTGTGTGTTTGAATAGGTGCTTTCATCAGTAAATGTACTTTTCTTGGTTATCTCTAAACAATTTGGACACTTAGGCTATGTTTGGTAAAGCTATCTAATAAGCTAGCTTACAACTTATAAGTGAATTTCGAGCTTATAGTTGATAGCTTATGACTTATGGCTGAAAAGCAAACTTATATGATAAAAGTGTTTGGTAAAACTAACTGATAATCTAGCTGAAATAAAAATTTCAATTGGCTTATTTGAAAAGCTACCCAAAGAAGCTTATGAGTTAAGTTCAAGCTTTTTAAAAATGCTCGTTTTACCAAACCAAGTTTATTTGAATACACGAAGCTTATAAGCTAATCAAATAAGTTATAAGTTAGCTTATATGCTTACCAAACACAATATTAATGGTGTATCTTAAATGGTCCCACCCACCTTTTACCGACACTCATAAATTTCAGATTCCAAACATGTCAGCTATGATGCCATCGCCGTCAATTCTACCAAGAATGCAGCAGGTTAGCTTCCCAATTATTTTTCAACATTCGAAATTAACAGTCACTTTGTCATCAAGTTCTCGAATTACAGATTATTGTACAAACTCTATGAATTACTAGTTCAATCCAACTAATGTAATATTTCCCCATTTTCCCACATAACCAGAATCCATCATTTTTTTTTTAAAAAAAAAACAAACCCGTTGTTTGCAGTATGGAATATCTGGCGGCAATCGGACTCTTCCTCCTCAAAGCCTGAGCGATCAGAGTAAGAATTGCTTTGTTTTTTTCTGTTTTTTTAAAGTTTGATGTGATTCGAAACTCCAGCCATGTATGGGTTAAAAACTTACCGCTCATTTTTTTTTTTTAATAAATAAAAATAAAAGTGTTTAATAGTATTGGAGGTGGCAATGCTAGTGGCCTGATTGGGGGCATCCAGCAACAGCAGCAATCGGCATTCGGGAACATGACACAGCAAAGTGGTCAGCATTTGCAACAACAAATGGTAAACATGCCAAACGCAGCACAACAGACTCATCACCCGAACTTTCAGCAGCAGAGACAAAACCAGCAGTGATTAGATACTGTGATAGTCGATACTGATATACATACACTGCTCGTTCCTCACTCGACTCGTGTGTATGAGTAGGATTAACTGCTGCATTTTGAATCTTTTTGTTTTAATTCTATCCCATTTGCAGACTTATCAAGAGCGAGCATTTTTCGAACATTCATTGTTGTTTAATGCAGAGGAATGCAAAGGAAGAACATATAGCCTATATACATAGGCTATGTTTGGTGGACAAATAAGCTAGCTTATATCTTATTTGGTTACCTTATAAGCTTGTTGTATTTAGGTAAGCTTCGTTAGGCAGGATGAGCTTTTTTTAAAAGTTCAAGTTTATCTCGTGAGCTTCTTTGAGTAGCTTTTCAAATATACACTTTTAAGCACCAGCATTATATAAATTAGTACTATCATATTGGTGAACTCTACAAGCAGAAAACATAGTAAGAAAGTTCGCTATTGTTGCTCTAAACAGAACATGAGTATCGCAATTCGCAACTCGTTCTCACACTCCAGCCACATTACACTTCCATCAAACAATAATATGAAATCATAATCTACACTTCCATCAAACAATAATATGAAATCATAATCTACCATAAGCAAAAGCAACTTAACTACTCAATACAATTCATGCTAACAACAGTTAAAAATGTCAACTTTTCATGAACATTCCACAAATGTAGTAGTTTTAGAGACAAGGCAAAAGTATCCAACTTTTCACCCCCCAAACAACACAATAAAGACATTTACTCAAAGCAACCAATTCTAATCTACAAATACAATCTTCTTCTAGTTCTAGATACACAACATTCTCAATTTTACTACTATCACTAACATTATTATTACTATTATTACTATCACTAACCACTGTTGTTGTTTTTTTTTTTTTTTCGAGTCATTCTTGTTTATTATTGTTTTTACCAGGTCTCCTAACCTTCAGCTGCGAGAGCTCGAGCTGCGTCTTCATGAAGTTTTGCATCCTTTGCAGCTCCAAATCCTTTGCAAACTTCATCCTTTGCTTCTCCATCTCCACAATCTGCTGAAGCTTGGCAGTCTCTGCTTGTTCGTAAGCCTCGCCGAATTTCAAGATGGCCCGAGTTAGCTCTTTCATAGAGTTCCCCCAGTTTCCATTGCTATCACTCTCATTATTTCCAGCATCACTTTTCTTGAGAGCCGATTTATTGCCGTTCGACGTTCTTTGGAATCTTGGCCGTTTATTAGTATCGGGAGGCAAACCGTCGGAAGAATCTGGTGAGTTCTCGGGTTCAGACTCATCATCGGAGTCGAATGGCGGGTTTTTCTTGCGGGCCGGGTTTCGACTGGAAGATGATCTGAGCCCGACCGGAAAACTCACGGGGAACTTCTGTTCCATGGATGAAGGAGTAATGGAGTTCGTTTTGGTGGTGGGCCCGATTAGTTCGTTGAGCTTGTGGTAGAATCGCCACTTGCTGGGTGGGCCGCCCTCGGAGATCTTGGCCCTCTCGAGCTTGTACTTCTTCTTGACGGTGTCGATGCGGTTCTTGCACTGGACGTCGGTCTTGGGGGTTTTGTTGTGGAGGTCCTCCCGGCGGCCGACGGCGTCGGCCACTTCCTTCCAGTGCGTCTGCTTGAGGTTCCCCCGGCTCAGCTCCAGGTAGCGCTCGCCCCAGGCGTCGATTAGCACGGCGGTGGCTTCCTCGCTCCAGCAGTCATCCCGGCCGCCGCCGCCGGAGGAGGGGGTCTTCTGGGGGTTTTGTATCGGGAGGGCCAGGGTCAGGGGTATGGGAGGCGGCGGAGAGGTGGGAGCCGGGGAGAGGCAGCCGGCGGCGGGGACGGTGACTGCGATGCGGCCGTTGGGAGGGGGGGAAGATGGATGGCCCTGGATTTCGTCGTCGTCGTCCATGGGAGGGTCGGGTGAGCCCAGATCTGGGCGGTCGGGTCGGGTCACGAGTGGGTTTCTTGAGAGAGAGAAGGCGATAAAGAGAGTTTTTGTAGGTTGGGATGACCGGCGGTGGGGGGAGAGAGAGAGAGAGAGTGTAAATGGCGATGGTTAAGCGGAAGTTAGAGAGAGTGTGGTGGTGGTAGGGGCAGTGGGGCCCACCGAACGGCGCCGTATTTATATTGTGCTGATCACGTTTTTGGCGTTGACGGCGAAAACGTAGCGGGGGAAGGGCCGGCGACGTCAAGGCGGGGCGACCATTAATTAATTTGCATATTTTTTATTGTTATTAATTATTTATTATTATTTATTAATTAATTTCACCAGAAATGCCCAATGTACCCCTTTTCCCTATCCAATCCCGATTCAAATTGGAATTTTTTCTTTTTTTCTTTTTCTAATTTTGACAGTTATAAATCGATGAAAAAAGGCATTACTATTTACCGCCCCCTATTACTAGTCACCGCCCCCCTTGGACGATTTTGCCCTTTTCATTTTTTGTGTCCGCAAAATGTCGAGCAGCTCGGAGGTAAAAAAAAAAAACCGACCGGCCCGTTTTTCCGCACGGAACCGGTGACGTCCGGCCGACCGGACCGGACGGCTTAACACACGTCCGGCCGGTTTGACCGGACACGACCCTGTCCGTGCGAAAATTATGGCCGTACGGACCGGTCGTTGTACTAACCGACCGGTCGTACGGCCCACTTGGTGTCCGGCCACGACGACCGGTTTTGACCCGGTCCGGCCGGTCCGACCGGCCGGACACCATTTTTTTTATTTTTTTTATTTTCTTTATTTTTTTTATTATTAATTTTAAATGCTTTAAAATTATTAAATACATTGCAGGTGTCTTTAGAAGATTTTGGAGGAGATGGTGTTGATTACCGTTCCGCTTTCGATACAACTACGCTGTTTATTAGTATGTGGAGGCTATTAAGGATGCAAAAAGTACGGCAATTCTGAATGGTTTCTTTTTGACTATTTCGAAACACAAAAAACCTGGAAGGCTGAAGATC